CTCTGCAGCCAGATACCTAAACCACTGAGATATCCAGTCAGCTACTTCACTCCAGTGAACTCAGATCTAACAGAATCCCACTGGAAGAAATCACACACAGAAATGTAATTGCAGAAGTTTTCTGCAAGGGTGACTGTCACATGACTGTGTGCTGATCACAAACTGATCCCTCCCACAAGAAGACAGGCTGGCCCCATCTTTGCTATCCTTCTGAAAGCAGACAAAGACCTTTGTCTTCAGGTAGGCTCCTCTTTAGTGACTGTCTAGAACAGGGGTCCCCAACACCCAGGCCATGGACCGGTACTGGTCCTTGGCCTTGGAAGGCGGTGAGCAGGAGGGGCCGTTGCTGGAAAGCCCCCTTCTTCATCCCGTCCGCCCGCTGGTTCAGGACGTAGCTTGGTGCTGGCTACTAGCACTCGGCTTGGCTCCCTCAGGGCTGCCAAAAGAGCTGCAGGAGAAGGAAAACACACACACAGCTGTGGGCGAAGGGAACACCAGGTTGGAGGGTGGAAAAATCACACCTTGCCTGCTCCTTTAAAAACTAGTTGGCCAACTGCCTTGCCCGGATGCCAGAGGGGGAGCGGGATATACCACGTTGATGTTCCAAAGGGGAGGGAGAAGAAGGAAAGAAAGGTGTGGCTAGAAAGCCAAACACCAGTGACCATTTCCAAAGCACCAGTAATAAACATTAGTTCCTTTCTTATAAGAGAAAGGCTCTTGAAGGCCGGCATGCAACGGCAACGATGTTACTACCTTGCTATGACACCTCCCTCTCCTTTGGAATAGTTTGGTCCTTCCACTTCCTTGTAAATATTTCATTTATAGCTAAAGGCGGCAATCCATTTCATCCTTTAGGATGGGGGAATAAGAGGGAAAGGAAAGGAATCCAGACTTCCCCGTTACCCTTTCCTACCGTTTTCCGCTACCTCTCGGACATCTGGATTCAGTTCAAGCATTTGGGTCTAAAGAAACCCTCTCCACTTACCTGGGTCCTGGAGAGGAACCTCCTCCTCTGGGATCTCCCCTCCCTGCCTGGGGCATGGTAGGTGACAATTCCCAGCCTGAGACACAGGGACGCCTTGAACAGAGGCGGCGGAAGGAAGACCGAACAAAAGAACGAACAAACTAGGGGTTTCTTTGTTTCCATTATAAAGATCCATGGAAACAAAGACAGACCAACATGGGAGATGAAAAGGATTTTGTAAATACAGTGGTGCCTCGCTTAACGATGTTAATTGGTTCCAAAAAAACCATCGCTATAGGAAAACATCGTTAAGTGAAACACCATTTCTCATAGGAATGCATTGAAAACCGGTTAATCTGTTCCAATGGGAACGGATTGCCGTCCTTAAGCGAACATCCCCATAGGAAACATTGCTAAGTGAAATAATGTTTCCCCCAAGGGAAGGCCATTCAAAAGCACTGAAGCAAGCTTCAGTCCGTTCAATGGATTTAAATGGGGAAAACAAAAAAATCACCAAAAATTAACGAAGACTCAGAACAAAACCAAATTAAGTTTGCACATGTTTCACAAGATGCACTACCGAATCCAAGCATTTAAAACAGGTTTCAAACATTTTAAGACACTTTTAAATGAGCAAAAACGGACATCGTTAAGTGAAATTCCCCCATAGAGAACATCGTTAAACGATGGGGAAATTTCCTCAAAGAAACCCATCGCAAAGCGAATACATCGTTAAACGAAGCAATCGCTAAGCGAGGCACCACTGTACAAGAAAAAATGGCCATAGGAAGCAGAGGCTATGCCATCAATAATAATAAATAACCACCTTTGAACAGCAGAGCTGGAAGGGACCTTGGGGATCATCAAGTCCAGCCCCTCTCAAGGAGGCACCATGGGGAATTGAAGCCAGTGAGTGAGTCTTGTGGCACCTTAAAGACTGACATGGATAGCTCAGTGGTTTAGGTCCCTGGTTGTGGAGCCAGAGGTTGGGAGTTCAATTCCTCACTATGCCTCCTTGATATGGGCTGGACTTGACGATTCATGGGGATCCCTTCCAGCTCTCCTGTTCTAAGATGATGATTATAAAGTAGTAGTTTTATTTGGTGACAACTTTCATGAAATGCAGTCAATGAAGTGGACTGGCAGGAATATCACCGACTAGCAGGGCTAGTGGTGGGAGTTGCAGGCAAAACTAGGGCTGTCAAATGCTGCCAGAAAGTCTTTGCTTCTGCACCTAACTGGATTTGGAAATAGCAGCCGCGTGAACAAGCCCTTTGATAAATGAGGGCCATTTCACACCAAACACCCAAGGGGGTTGCCCCAGACAGGCAAAGCACTGACACGTAGGGCTAGCCGCGGGACCTGAAGGGGCCCTGTGTATCCCTAAAGGGAAACTCAAGCCTTACCATATGTCGCTGGCACATCTACAGCCTCGGCGTGCAGCTCCCTCCGGAAGTCGCAGCTACATGAGCAGGCACACAAAGGAGAGTTGGTGTGTGGCACTCACACTCAGAGGCTCTTCCCATGTCAGGAAGAATCACTGACAGTCAGGGAAGGTGACCGGCGCTACAGGAGGCCCTTCTCCTAGGGACAGGGCAACAGAGCCCTAACTCCTGTGGGGTCAAAAGCTGTATGAATGAGCCCCTTGAAACAAGAGGGAACAGAGCCCTAACTCCTGTGGTCAAAAACTGTATGAATGAGCCCCTTGAAACAAGAGGGCTGTTCCGGCCAGCCTCCGAAGAGGCTGTACCCCACTGAAGTGGGGAGCAGGAGCTACAGAGGCCCTACTTCTTCCAGGGCAGTCCTAAGGCCGTAGAGGCCCAGCTCACTGCAACACAACTGTAAGAACGAGCCCCTTGAAACAAGAGGGCTGTTCTATGCCAAACTCTGGGGAGGTTGTAGCTCAGCCAGGAGAATCAGCGACAGGCGAGAAAGGCAGCCAAGTTCTGCCAAGGGCAAACTGAGAAACTGTCCTCTTCTATCCTGCTAAGAGAGGAAATTGCAAACAGACAAAAAGCTGTTGCTCTCCAGCCTGGTGGTAGCTTTATAAAGAAGGTATAAGAAAAAAGCCCTGAGGGCTGAAATGCCGGCTTTGTAAAGCCTCAACAAAGAACAGCTAATGCCAGCTAGTATTTTATCCCGCAGGCAAAGAAACAACTTGTTACAGAGAAAGAACAAGGGGAAAAGGCAAGAAAAAGAAAGAAAAAGAAGAATTGTTTCTACTTGCGAAGGTCCAAACAAAGCTGCTGCTACAGCGGCAGTCAGAAAAAGGAACTGAAGCACTGGACCGGGGGCGGAGTTATATAGCCAGGTGTAGGGGAGGTCCCAGCACTAAGTGCTTAAAGCTGTGGAAGTTACCAAAGACTGCTCTGCTCAGGCACAGATTAATCTATTTGTATTCACAGAGGACACAAAGGAGAAACTGCTGCACATCCTTACGGTTCCGGGGCTTCTGCCTGGTCAGTACCACTTCTATTTTCTTTGGGTCCATCTGGATCCCTTGAGGTGACACAATATGGCCTAGGAACTCGACGTCCTGCAGGCTGAATTCACACTTCTCCAGCTTGGCACAGAGTCGGTGATCTCGTAGGCGTTATAGGACCTGATGAATGTGTTCTGTGTGCTGAGCGGGGTCTCGGGAATAAATCAAAATGTCATCCAAATAGAAGATCACAAAGCGATCAAGCAGGTCTCGGAAGATGACGTTCATGAACCGCTGGAAGACAGCCGGAGCATTGGTCAGGCCAAAAGGTACTAATGTTGGCCATAACGAGTCTTGAAAGCCATCTTCCACTCATCGCCTTCACGGATTCTCACCAAACTGTAGGCGCCACGAAGGTCCAGCTTAGTATAGACCCGTGCCCCCTTAAGGCGATCCGGGAGTTCACCGATCAATGGCAGATCATGTCTGACTCATCCCCATTTCCAAGCCATAGAGCCAGCGTTTGTCCAAAGACAGTTTCCGTGGTCACATGGCCAGCGCGACTAGACACGGAACGCCATTTACCTTCCCACCATGGTGGTACCTATTTATCTACTCGCATTTACATGCTTTCAAACTGCTAGGTTGGCAGGAGCTGGGACAGGCGATCTTACGACTGCTGTTTTTCTAACCCTGCACCACAGAGGCTTCTGCGGTTTAACTCGCAGCGCCACCATGTCTCCAAACAATGAATATACAATACTAAAAGGGATCAATACAATAGCAAAAAACACACACAACAAACAAACAAACAAAAACCATAAGCAACACCAAAACACATTCAATGTTTCAGGGTACAATAATCAGTTTTAAAAATCCCGTTCGGCAGCCATTTACTCAGGGAAAGATTGCCTGAAGAGAAAGGTTTTCGCCTTCCTGCAGAAGGACAGTAAAGATGGTGCCAATCTAGCCTCTTGTGGGAGGAAGTTCCAGAGTCTGACAGCAGCAACAGAAAAGGCCCTCTCCCATGTCCCCAACTTGTAAAGAGTTGCAATTTTGGAAAGTAAATACTGTATGTCCAAATTTCTCTGCCAAAGTCCTCAAGGCTCCTGTGTAACAACTTACCTCATTGGGAAGTTGTTGCAGGCAAGAGAACAGGAGACAGAAGCCTTTAATTATCAAAAATTGCCACTGGTGGAATGATTTTACCAGCAGGGCAGTGTTAGGAAGAAGACTCCCCCTCTCCATCCTGTAGTTTCAACAAGTTCCTAGTGATGAAAAATGTTTACACAGGAGCTTCGGAAGTGAAACCAGACATGTTTAATTTGTTACAAAATCACCAAAATTGATAACTCAATCAACCTGGTATAACTTAGAACAATAGGATTTCAACCACTATATTTCTAATATTGATTATTCAGGCCCCTTGGGAATCAATTTCACTTGTATGAAATCTTTATTTTCACTTACATGACAAAGTGTTCTGAACTGTTAAAACTAATTTGCTGAAGTGCTACAACATTATAAATTGATAAACATAATTTAGATCAAATTCCACCTCAACTAAGTTTCATATATCAATATCCATAAATTATCAATACACTGTGGAAGTACCTCTGCTTCCAAAAGTCCTCCCACTTCCAAATCCACTTCCTCGTTTCATTTCTCCATTTGATTTTCCACTGGCAGCTAAAAAGAGAAAGATTTATTACTCAACATGCATCTGTAATCAGTTTTTCTCTCAAAGTATACAGTTTACAAATGTGTTTAGATAGCTACTGAAGATTACACATTGACAACTTCACTCCAATTTAAACTCTGTGTTAAATTATGATTCAGCAGTAGCAGCAGGCAGAAATCTTGAGCTGTTCCACTACAGTGATTTTTTAAAAGAAAATCTATTTCTTTTTTCAGAGCAAATTTGCTTGTGCCTCGAAAGCTTAGCTAAAGTACTGTAATTTAGCATTACTTGCATTCAAAATTCTATCACTGCTTCTTAACATAAATTAGGATTGGCAAGATGCCCGTATTAGCAAATGTTATTGAAACCATTATTCCCGGAGTCTCCTATTATGTGAAGATAGGAGAAAGCACATGGCACCTTCTGGCCAGTGGAGAATGGACCTGACAGAAAAGGGTTCACTGCTCCCTACTGAGAAGGGAGGGATAAGATTTCTGCAGAGATCTACTGGTACCTCAAGGAATTCCAACATTCCTGGCCTACTTTAAGTGTTGGTGCATCCATCCACCTGTATCAGTGTTCCATGGAATACTGAGCTGGTTGACAGAACTGCTATTTATTTATATTTTATTTATTTGGCTTTTATACCACCCATCTAGACAAATCTACTCTGGGTGGTTTACAGTCCAAAAAGCAATAAAATTAAAAACATCAATAAAAAAAAGTAAACAAGCAAACATAATCCAAGATGGAAAAACTGGGGGAAGACATTAACTAATGTCAGGAGGGAAGGCCTGCCTGAAGAGCCAGGTCTTCAATTTATTCTTAAAAACTCCTAGCGAGGGAGCCAGGTGGATCTCAGGGGGGATGTTCCAAAGGTGAGGGGCCACCGCCGAGTGGCCTGGTTTCTAGTATTTTTCTTCTGGACCTCTCACAGAGTTAAGCCCCTCAGCCACCCAGTCTGGCCAGAACAAGTGACACAGGTAGAACTAGGTGGAAGAAGGTGCTCTGACAGGTATCAAGGTCATAAACCATTTAAGGCTTTATATGTAACTATTAGCGCACCTTGAAATCGATCTGGAATCTAATGGGTAATCAGTGTAAGGTCGCCAGAGTGGGGGAAATATGATAGTTTTTCACCCCAGTTAGTAATCTGGCCGCATGTTCTGGGCCATTTGAAGTTTCCACATCATTCTCAAGGGAAGCCCCACATAGATTGCATTACAGTGGTCTAATCTGAAGACTATGAGCGCATGAACAAGTGTGGTGAGCGCCCCAACATCAAGATAGGAGCGCAGCTGGGCAATCTGCCGAAGATGAAAATGGGCGGTGCGAACCACAGACATTACCTGGAATTCCATGGCAAGTGCCAGGTCAAGATGGACCCCCAAGCAGCGGACCACACTCTTTGTAGTGAGAGTCACTCCCCCAAAAGAGAGGGAGCTCCCAACCCACGGATGATAGAGGCACCTGCCCTCAGGACCTCCGTCTTGTCTGGGTTCAGCCTCGCTCCATTCTCCTGCATTCATTGCAGAACAGCCCCCAGGCCGTGCTCAAGGGATGGAATGTTATCCACTGCTGATGGGAAAAAAGGAGATGTAGAGCCGAGTGTCATCAGCATACTGATGACACAAGGCACCATACCCCCAGATAACGCCCCCCAGCAGCCTCATGTAGATATTAAACAGCATTGGAGAGATTATCGAACCCTGTGGCACCCCACAATTGAGAAGCCACAGGGCCAATATATTCTCCCCAAGCTGGACTCTGAGAACAGTCCTCCAAGAAGGGCCAGAGCCAAGCAAGATCCAGACCACCAATCCCCAACTTGGAGAGCCCCCCTAGGAGGATACTGTGGTCAACGATATCAAAGGCAGCTGAGATGTTGAGAACCAACAAGAACATTTTGCCCCTGTGGGCCTCCATCAATAGGTCATCCAGCAGGGCAATCAATACCATTTCCATACCGTGCCGCAGCCTGAAGCCCAGTGGGAATGGATCCAGGGTGTTGGTTTCATCCAAGAGGGCCTGAAGCTAATCGGCCACCACCCTCTCTACTACCTTGCTAAGAAAAGAAACATTGGTGTCGGGCCTATAATTGCCAATGTTGCCCACCGCCAAGCTTGGTTTCTCCCTAATGGGCCTAATGAGTGTCTAGACTAGAGATGGGGTACTTGTATTCGTAAATGAATTCCCCCGCACAGGTGAAAATGAGGGTCCAGCCCCATGGGGCCAGACTGTCCACTCACAATTTTGCCACTGCCACTGGCTCCATGGAGGCTTCCTATTGCACTGTTGTCTGCAATCAATTACCAAGTCCTGGCAGGAGGCGGGATGACAAGCCTCTCTGCTAGGCTGGAGAGTGGCTAATCCATTGCGGAGAACAGCGCGATAGGATGTCTCCACGGAGCTGACGGCAGCGGCGAAATCAGAATCTCAGTGAATTTCCTGAGAGCTGGAAACTAAGACCTTATTGACCAAGCAATTATAGTCACTTTCGCTCGAAAGAGCAATCTCAGAATATTAGATAGAAGAACTGGTAAGAAGGTATTCAACAGTTCTGTGGGTTATTCTGGCACAAACATCCATGGCCTCTGTCTTCAGATGCAGGTAGCACAAGAGCAACCTCAGCACTTGGCAACTGTTTGCTGCAGCAGATAGATCAACCATCAGATCCCACCTTATGGCCCACTAAAAAAATACCTAAGGTGAAGCAACTGCTCCCCAAAAGATTATTTTTCCATCATTAAAGAAGCAGCTCCAGTTCTTTTTTCTCCTAAGTACCAAAGAGAAAACCAAAACCAACTTTTCTTTGCTAAAAACTAATTACCAGTGAAGAAGGTGGATGTAGGTGTGCTGCCTCGAAGATTAGGCTATACATTGGATTTAGAGACTTCCCACAGAGTGCTACACAAAGTTGCTCAAGGCTGGTCTGGTAGCATGCAGGAACTAGTAAAGCAGTCATTCCCTGAATTGTTAGCAGCACATTCCTACAGAAACAGAAGGACACCAAGGCTGTATGGGCCTGGTTCTGCTTAGCTGCAGACTACCAGTTTCACTTCCCAGCTCCTTGTGGTTAGGCCACTGGATTGGGAACCCCTTAAAGGGCAGGAGCAGAGTGAGACCTGATTCTTTGCTCTGTAAATTGGGGAGGTGTCTCCATAGACCAAAAATCTTCACTCTTCCAATGGTCTCTAACTGGGTAATTCACAGCGAACAGGAAGAGAAAGAAAGATCAGCTTTGAAATGAAACATTAAAGGCCTATAGAAAAGCTGTTTTGAGGCTACTCTCAAACAGCTAAAAAACCCTGCTCTCCCACTAAGTGAAGACTCAAAAAACGGTGGTGGCAGGTAGGTCTTCTCCCCAGTCTGCCTTTTCTTGGGCCTGCCTTCTCAGTAAGGAGGATTTAATCTTTCTGTATCTGATCCCCACTTCCACAGACGAAGAACATCTACAACAGCGATAGGCAACTCCACTATTACTAAAAACCTGCTACACTGGTATGATGGGAGCTGCAGTCTAAAATATCCTTTTTTATAAAATATCCTTTTATAAAATATCCTTGACTTGCTTATCCTTGACTTGCAGAAGGAAAACTAACCAAACCTTCTTTCAAACTCTGAAATCTCTTATGTTTTCACATGTCTGAACAGTCAACACAATAATAATTAGCAAATATGTTACAGGTTTCCTACACTGAAACCTGTAACATAAGGTCTGTATGCTACATCCAATAACTGTACTCCACATGGTTCATAATCTTCTCACATAAAAATCAAAGACACACATTCTAGGTAGATACATATTTTAATTTTAAAGTTTTCAATAAAGATTATTTCTCACTGCATCACCCAAAATATTTCACAGGTTCCGATTTCCAGTTCACCCAATTGCTTTCTGAAGTACCATGTATGCACTATGCATGTAGTGAAGACACAAATCTATCACTATTTATTTATTATTTATTTATCTATTTAATTTATATACTGCCTATCTAGTCGGTTAAGACCATTATAGGCGGCTATATAGGAATAGAGCTTTATCCACTTAAAAACAGCATGTGTGCAAGTGATCATATGCTTAAAATAAGAATCTACAGTATTATTCTAGATATGGATGCGGTATAACCATATCTAGAATATCAATAACCTTTCTTTTTAGAAGAAAACATTTTGAAGTTATTTATTAGCATTATACTGCACATTTGGAAACAAAGTAAATGGGTATGATATAAATCAATAGAGGACTCTTACAAATAAGAGAACAGTGCAATAATATAGAACATAGAATATGAAATTTGCAAATTACATACTTCAAAAATTATCTTGCCTACTTACATTGGTGTAACTTTTTGAAGCAAACTGCTTCAATTTAAGAAATCTCTGTAGATATTATCTATTGCATACTGAGTCACACAACTCACCATGGAACATCCTTAAAAAGATGTCCTTTCAAAAGTTACACATAAGAGGATTTTGACAAGAATGAAATAAATGATACTGATGGCAAAGCCCAAGGCTTCTAAGTTCATGTATCTACACAAAGCACCAGATATGTTTAAAGACAATAATTTCTCTTTAACTACTTTGCTAGAATTCTTGGAGTTGTTCAACTATACTTCATTATAACAGGTATTTGAACTAGGTTGGATAAAAATTAATGATTTAAATAAAAAAATTAAGTCCAACTGAAAATCACAAGCCATGCGCAAACTTTGGTCTCACTGTTGCATAGTAAGTTTATCTGGCTGTTAAGTTAGATACTGTATCTGGCTGCACAGCCAGAGGTTGGGCACTCAATTCCACACTGTGAATCCCAGAAACATCAGCCTAGGTGACCGTGGACAAGCTGGATGCCCCCAGAAGAAGGTAACGACAAACCACTTCTGAGCACTCTCTACCTAGAAAACTGTTGATACAATTCATGTCTTCTGTGCCTGAAAAAGTGGGACTGTGTCCACAAAAACTCACAGTAATTTAATTCATCAGTTTTAAAGGACTCACAGCTTATTTTTGTTGTGAAACCATTCAAGAGATCTGATTAATCTTTTATTTTCTCCTTAAAAATAAGCACAGCTGATAGCAGGCATGGTATTCTGGAAAAGGCACCCTCCTTCTCCACTCACACAAGGAACAGCATCTAAAAGGTTGCATACTGCATTATGTGTGTATCATATAAAAACTAAGAAAGAACTCTTATTTTTGCTTCACAACTATCAGTTTACCTAGCCACAAATTACACAACCTACTCAAACTGACACTACTCAAAACATTTCTAAATCCCAATTAATTTACCTATATTGATCATCTAAGTGGGCATTAAGCACTTTAGATCTGCGGTACAGTGGCACAACATAATTTCACAAGGTTTGCGTACAGCCATGAAAAGATAATTTGATTATAACTGCAGCCGGTATAAATGTTTCACACATACCTGGTGGTTTTACATTCTGACCAAAACTGCCCGATGATTCAATCACTCTTCCAGATAAGCCACCCTACAATATTAAACAAAGAATAAGGCCATACCGGAACTACTATCTCAACTAGTAAGTGTTTATTTAAGAAGAAAAATTAAATCTGGCATTTAAAATGTTTAAAAAATTATGTAACATATTGCTACTAGTATTCGACTTTGACATCAACACACAACTTTGCCTTAACATTACATCTGTTATATGCTGTTAGAAGAGAAAAATGAATCATGGACAGCCAGAAACTAATCACATTATTTTGATACAGGGCCATGGCAGGTGCTGAGTGATAGGCAGTCCCTACTGTAATTAGACTGGGAGTGACATTCTAATTCACACATCCAGAAGTGAATTCTGAAATTGTCCACCTCTGAGCTTATTCTGAAGTTCCCATTTTAGAACTTGCTTTTAGAAATGGAAACTTGGCCTGCACATATGACCATGAATTTTGCTACATTTACTGTACGTTTCTTCTATGATCCACACAGCTCTACAATGCCCACCCTCATGAAGACTCATGCAGGCCAAAGTTATCTTGTGTTTGCGATATCTGAATATCAGAAACACAAGGTATCATCCACTCTTGTACACCCTTTGGGTTGTGTACGCAGATCACACAGCTTTTATTCGCTTTCATAGTTTAATTAGTGATCAACAAATCACTATTTACTTTTTAAAAGCCTGCACCTTCATCCCATAGTTAAGTACCAATGCAGGATACAAAAAAATGATTAAACAAGAAATATCAATGGGAAAGTAACAAGAGGCCAGAAACAGGACTCCAAACAGTGGTTTCCAACATTGGGTTCCAGATGTTCACTGACTAAAACTCCCAGAAGCCTTCACTGCTAGCTGTGCTGGCCAGGATTTCTGGGAGTTGTAGTCCAAGAATGTTGTGGTCAGTTGATCACTCAGGGGGTTCATAGATGCTGATGGAAGAGTAAGAGACAGTAGCAAGGACCCAAGGTTGGAAACCACTGCTATACAGCAACAATCTAGTCCTGTGTGTATGGCTTTTCAATTAACACCCACTGAGATAAATGTAGATCACTCCCCAATTAATTTTTCACACAACTGTAGCCTAAGGGTGGAGAAAAACAACTTTTCTCTTCAGACAGGCTTTTCCTTAGTGATTGGCTGTCTGAGGGGGCTTTTAAATGGATTGTTGTGCTCTGTTGCTTTTGCATGTGTTCTTAGTATTAATTTTATTTACCATTTTAATATAATATTTAATTCCTTTTTAATATTTCTACTACTGTTTTTAGCTTTAAAATTTTGTCTTTTTGCCTTGGATCCTTTTAAGGAGAAAGGTGGAGTAAATTTTTTTAATAAAATAGTAAGGGTGCAATCAGATATCAGGAGTCACTGTGCCGGGAGTGTTCTCCCTTAAAGAACCCCTCCAAGGAATCACTCCAGACCAGCCCTAAACAGTAGCAGTCTTACAGCAAAAGGCCCAGCTCGGGGTCAGGCTAAAGCATAATTCCCTGTACATGATCACCGAGAAATAGATCACACTGGACTGCTTTACAAATCATCCAAAATACAAACTGTTTCCCCTGAAAACATATCCTAAGTAATCATTGCTTCCACTATCAAGTGGAGAGGGCACTACCAAGAATATGTAGTTAATTATTCTTACACTATAATTAGTAAGGACAGAAGAACTGTTTTGGATCACAGGCATGCAGTTTTGAACTGAAAAGACTCTCCCTTGGAATAGACAGACAACAAACAAGAAACTAGACTAGAATCCCCCCTCCTAATATGCAGGAGCAGGTGATACCTTTATTTATGATCACTAAAAAAATCAAGCAGACAGCTATCTTTTAATGATGATTCATCATCCTCAAGTGGTATCTCTTACCCATAGGGCAGTTTTATTTTTCAAACAAGACACAGGATACAAAAAATGGCTTCCCCACCTGTAATTTATCCTGCTGCATTTTACTCAATTTACCTAGGATTCCACCACATATGTTGCAAATATAGACCAGGCCTTACAGTACAATGCAATGCTTATTTATTTGGGAAAACATTTAGTGCTCAATTAACCTTACTCCCAAATAAGTGCATCCACAATTGCAGTTTATGTAAGGTTTTAGCATTTGTTACTAATATAAACTGCCAGCTCATTCAGATTAGCTGCAATTAGCTGGACAATAAGTTCGATTCCACTTTATTTCCACCAAAAATCTTAATTTAAGCAGCCCATCGAAGTTTACAGTTTCCTGGATAACTTCAAAGAGACTGTTATTAGTCCATCAAGAATAATAAACCACAGTTTTAGAATAAATAATGTTACACTGTTTTACACTGGGGTTTTTTTCCCAATAATCTGCTTCCTAATAGAAGAAACAGAAAGCAACCTTCCTGCAGGAGGGATCTTCTTCCTGAGGGGGATCCTCTCTCCGTGAAGATTTCGCCCCCTCCCTGGCTACCCCAATGTTCTTCGACCACCACCCGGGCCCATCTTTGAAGTCTTTTGGTTTCTCCCTGCCTTTAATTCATCCACCCACCTAACCACACCCGCGGGGAAAAAAACTGTACCACAGAGCACAGCCCAACCCCGCAAAAGGGATCTTCCACAACGGTGCGAGCGGGGAAACACCTTTAACCTCCCCGCCTCCAGCATTCACAGCCACCCACCGGCTTCGGGAAAGTGGGTTTCAAAGTAGGTGCAGTTTCCAGGCCAGCATCACCATCTCCGCCGACGCTCCCTCGGCCGATCTTCTTGCCCGTGATCTCCGTATCCCAATCCTCGTCACCCATGGCGGCAACCGGTCCTCTTAGGGGCTCCTGTGAGGCAAAGAAGACACACACGGTAGAAGGAGCCGAGTCGGCGACGGAGTGCCAGCCGCCCCCTAAAAATGGGAGCTCTTTGGAGTCAACTTCCCCACCCGTCCCTTTCCGACTTCACGGCCCACCTGCGGCAGACGACGACGACGGCGCTCCCCCTCTAGCCGTTTCCCGCTCAATTTCTCAACCACCCCCGCCCCCCGCTCCCGCTCTTCACTCTCCTCAGAACGTCGGCAACGCAGGCGCTTCAGGACCGGCTCCGCGCCCACCTTCACGCCTCAACCACTAAGGCGCGCGCCAGCTTGCGCGCTCCGCGGCACGTGCTCTTCCCGCCCCGCCGCGCCCAACCGCCTTCGTGGCCGTGGCGACCAATCGCAAGCCGCCGGGGCTATAACAATTAGTCGAGGCGGGGGCGGAGGGGGAGAAATATGTTCCTAAATCAACGGCGCAGGGGGGGGGGAGTCCGTTATTATTTTGCGCTCGGGGCGTAGCGCCCGTAAACAAAGCCTTGTCGCTTGCGCGAGTCGTGGTACATTACTTGGTGGCCGCCTGCGGAAGAGCTTTTCCCGACTAGGCTTTTCCCAATCGCAACGAGTAAACGAAACTTACCGGCTAACGCAGGTGGATGGGGGCAGTCTTAAAGAGCCGCACCCAGGTGTACGAGCAGATTAAAGCCATTCTCGAAGTGCAGTACAGTACTGTATACGCACGTTGTTGTTTTTTTTGAGGGCAGTCTGCTGGTTTTACCCAGTTATATGTCCTGTTAATAAAACATGAGATACTGTAGTAAGCTTTAGATTTTAGGAGCCTTGGTTATTCGTGGGTTTATTGTTGCGGTTCGCCAACGAGGACTGTGTGGAAAAGTTATTGCTGCCGCTCCCTTTTTATGTAATTAGATCCATGAGTTGTTGTTTTTTTTCAACTCGATGGTGTGTTTAAGTAATTTTGTCCAATATTAAGGAGTGAAATGGTTTCAAGGAGCGGTCTGCTGATTTTATTTGTAGTTCCACTCCTTTCCTGGTAATCCATTATTTGGTCTTTTTAGATTGCTATGCTTATTGTATATTTCATCTTCTACTCCCTTGAGGTCTTTAAACAGAACAGCATGTAAAATGTAATAATGAATATTTTTTATTAAAAAAAACATGCCTAAAACAGACTATTCTATTTTGGGCATACTGTGAAAAATATAAGGTTGACTGGAACAGATAATGCTGAGGAAAGTTGAAAGCAGCAGGAAAAGAGAAAGATGGTATGTGAATTGAATTAATTCAGTAAATGAAGCAACAGCCTATTTGCAAGACTTGAGTAAGGCTTTCACACTCTATTGGACCTTTGGGAGATCCCTAATTCATTGACTTACTAAATCTGAAGCAACTTGATGGCAATATGGTAGCTGGATTGCCAGCTGGAGCTGGCTACAGGGATGACCTTTTGCAGCTGCTCTGCTGCTTGCTGATCCCTTTCCATGCCCAATTTGAAAACACTGGTTCTAACCTATAAAGCCTTAAACAGCTTGGGTCCAAGCTATCTCCAGGACCACATCTCCCACTATGAGCCTGCCCCAACTTTAAGATCATTGGGAGAGGCCTTTCGTTCCTCGGTCTCGCCACCTTCACAGCTGAGTTTGGTGGGGACACAGGAGAGGGCCTTCTCTCTTGCTGCTCCCAGACTTTGGAACTGGCTCCCACTGGAGGCCAGCCTGGCCCTATCCTTGCTGTCCTTCTGCAAGCAGATGAAGACGTTTCTCTTCAGGCAAGCTTTCACTGAGTGAGTGGCTGCCTGAGTGAGATTTTTAAATGGATTGCTATGCCTTATTGCTTTTAATGTGTTTTTACAATTGTTTTTGTTTACAGTTTCTCAGCGTAGTACTTGTTTGATCCTTTTTAGTATTTTTATACTCATGTTTTTAGCTTTAAATATTGTCTTTTAATTATGTAAGCCATCTTGGGTTGTTTTTAAGGAGAAAGTTTGGATAAAAGTATTTATTTTAAATAAATAAACGTTTATGTCTTATCTTTTTTCCATATACGTCAAGGCAGCATATGGAAATCTTTCTCCATCCAGCCTCAAAACAGTGTTATGAAATAAATCAGGAAAAGTGAGTGATCCAAGATCTCAATTACTGAGGAACCTAGATTTCCTAATCACAAATTCAACACACCAAAAACCTTACTAAGGGTGTAATTTCACTGTGTGTTTTGCTGCAGTTTGATTCACAGCCAGTATTATGTTGGAAATTGTAGTTAGTCCTCACACAAGAACTGAAGTCAAATTCAGAAAAAATCCAAAATATCTTCCTCACCTGGGTTGGGTATCCGTAACAGAAGAATCGGCTCCAAATCAGAAGTCTTCAAAACCTAGAATAGTGTTTTCCTAACCTTGCGGCTGTGACCTCTATGGGGGTCAGGTCACCTATGTGTTGTATCCCTTCTCAAATAATTTCATCCTTGACCTTTCGGAGCAGGATATTAATGTTAGTGTGTATGTATGAGAATGACTACACAAAAGCCTTTGACTTTGTGGACCACAGCAAACTATGGCAAGTTCTTAAAGAAATGGGAGTGCCTGACCACCTTATCTGTCTCCTGAGAAACCTATATGTGGGACAGGAAGCAATAGTTAGAACTGGATATGGAACAACTGATTGGTTCAAAATTGGGAAAGGAAGATGACAAGGCCGTATATTGTCTCCCTGCTTATTTAACTTATATACAGAATACATCATGCAAAAGGCTGGACTGGAGGAATCTCAAGCCAGACTTAAGATTACTGGACAAAATATCAGCAACCTCTGATATGCAGATGATACCACTCTGATAGCAGAAAGTGGTCCGGAATTAAAGAACCTCTTAATGAGGGTGAAAGAGGAGAGCACAAAAATGGTTTGAAGCTCAACATTAAAAAAAAACTAAGATCATGGCCACTGGTCCCATCACCTCCAGGCAAATAGAAAGGGAAGATATGGAGGCAGTGACAGATTTTACTTTCTTGGGCTCAGTGACCACTGCAGATGGTGACAGCAGCCTTGAAATTAAAAGACGCCTGCTTCTTGGGAGGAAAGAGATGACAAACCTACACAACATCTTAAAAAGCAGAGACATCATCTTGCCGACAAAAGTATGCATAGTCAAAGCTATGGTTTTTCCAGTAGCAAGGTATGGAAGTGAGAGCTGGACCATAAGGAAGGCTGACTGCCGAATAATTGATGCTTTTGAATTATGGTGCTGGAGGAGACTCTTGAGAGTCCTCTGGACTGCAAGGAGAAAAAACCTATCCATTCTGAAAGAAATCAGCCCTGAATGCTCACTGGAAGGACAGTTCCTGAAGTTGAGGCTCCAATACTTTGGTCATCTCATGAGAAGAGAACTCCCTGGATAAGACCTGATGTTGGGAAAGTGTGAAGGCACGAGGAGAAGGGGACGACAGAGAACAAGATGGTTGGACAGTGTCATCGAAGCTACCAACATGAATTTGACCCAATTCCAGGAGGCAGTGGAAGACAGGAGGGCCTGGCTTGCTCTGGTCCATGGGGTCATGAAGTCGGACACAACTTAATGACTAAACAACAACAATGTATGAGAAAGAGAGCCTTTGGAGGAGAAAGAAGCCTCTACTTTCTGAGATGAGCAGGACTATTTTTTCCAAAAAAATTTTTTTTAATTTATTATTTTGTTTTATATACAACCAGGACTATTTTTTCCAAAAAAAAATTAATTTATTATTTTGTTTTATATACAACCCATGCCAGCGTAAAGATATAATTGCCGCTTCCACAGGAAAGAGATTTTAGCTATGACACATCAGTTCTAGAGATCCTAAAGGAGAGAAAAAGAAATTCCTCTGAACAACAAACATAAATGACCTGCCTCTTCTGCAGTGGGTGCAAGGAAAGCTTTCTGCCACTTTCTGAGGAGGATCCTCTCTGCATAGAGGTTTCACCCCCTGGCTACAACAATGTTATTTCCCCCTCCCCAGCCCATTTTTGAAGTCCTTTGCTTTCTCTCTACCTTTAAATTCTCTAGCCTGCTCCCTCCACAATTTTGAAGTGGTGGCAGTAGAGTGAGTGGCAGGAGCAGCATCAACAGTGCCGCCATGTCAAGGAACAATGACGACAGACTATGTATGCAACTGTGGTGGTGGGCTTGGATGTTACTTGTATATTACAAAAGGGGTCACAACTTGAAAAAGGTTGGGAGCCATTGCTCTCTAGAATGAAGTATCAGTTCAATCGCATATACATGAATTCACTACATGGATTCACTCCTCCAACACAAACATATAAGAATTATGACAAGTTGTCAGGGACTTTAGCAGTCCAAATGGCAACAGCAGATCCCATCTCTTCAGCTCTTCCATTCTTCCTGATTTAAATCTCTACTCACAGCCCCATTCTTCCTTCATCCTAGTCCATCACTCTAGACCATGACTACAGCACACTGGGAATCCCCACTTAATCTGAGATGTCTATAAATCTTAAACTGTGACCCATCTAACAAAAGTTCACTGGCCACCACAACATGTTTTTAGGAAGGATCTGAGAAAATTGTCTAAATGTCAGTGCTGTGATTTTCTTGATACATCTCTTATTCCTGTTATGGTAATACCCAGTTACAAGCTAATTCTGGGGAGGAGTTATTATTCACATTAATTTTCTACTGGGCCAATCTCTGACATTTGCCAATCTCTGACATTTACATGCACGTTGGAATACTGCAAAGACAGGAAGCAGACATGGTGTGGGCAACCTGTTCTGCATTAATCCTCATGTATTAACATCTGAAAGGAAAGCTGCACATTTTCCCAGAATGAGATGTACAAACTATAGGAGGACCTGAAGTTATTCTTGTTGTGGATGCATGTTATAGTGTGAACGTATACCAGCATGATAGTTTGCTGTTTCATTTGTCATTCTTTTCCTAAGTGCTGCATTTTCCTCTCACTTCTGAAACTCACAGCTGATGTTTTCACTGAACTTTGTCCTGTGATCATGCCTCTCCGTAGTGATTACAGACTGGCTTTCGTTTGTCTGCAGACTAGATTTCCTGATTAGTTTTCATTTTATGACTATCTCTTCTCTGTTAGGAAAAGATACAACTTTTTTTAGCTGAAAATGAAGAGACCAAGGAGAGTTTGATTGTTTCCAGTGGATTGACTGGAGATAGTCATTCTTTCTTCCCTTCCTCTCCCCAACACAACGTCCTCAAAAAGTAGAAATAAAGATAGCAGGTCCTGCTTTTTTAAAACATGGCTCATCTTGAATGTAGAGAATGTGTATTTTTTTGAAAGTTGCCTTCTAAATTTTTTCTGTGCTAGGAGGGGAGAAAAACGATAGAAAATTAACCCTCTTTATTGTGTGGGGCTGAGAGATGTTATGCTTATATTATGGAAATGGAGGTTGAAAGTCACATAATAGACATGCAAAAGAGCCCTGTGGTCTAAGGGTTAAACTGCAGTACTGAGGTCAGGTCGCTGTTCACAACCTGCATTCAATCCTTACTGATTCAGATAGCCAGCTCAAGACTGACTCAGGTTCACAACCTGCATTCAATTCTTACTGATTCAGGTAGCCAGCTCAAGAGTGACTCAGCCTTCAGTCCTTCCAAGATCAGTAAAATGAGTATCCAGCTTGCTGGGGGGGGGAGTGTTCTTTTGTTATAAACCACCCATAATTATGTTATAAACCACCCAGAGAGTGGCAAAGTGTTCTTTTGTTATAAACCACCCAGAGAGTGGTTTAGCACTATGAGGATATATATATAACAGCCACATGTAACGGTCTCATATGCAGTCCAATATTATCTCCACATAGCAAACTCATTTGGTGTAGAGGCTAATCATATATCAGGAATACAGTACTGTATTATATACAGTACTTTTTCCATACTTTTGTTTCAGATGATAGGAGTATTGAGTGATAAGTACTTACAACATTGTTTGTAGTGTAGCTTGTTTTAAAAATCTCTGGCTGAAAACTGGGATAACAATTACAACCATTTCGTTTTGCAATTTCCAATTGCAGATGGAGGCTGAAGTTGATAGATTCAATAAGCTGTAACAAAGTCTTTCAGTTGCTAAAATCAGATACGCATGTCCAGTACAAAACAGTGTAGTAGACGTATTATTAACACAGAGAGGATTACATAAAATGTAAACGTTTTACATTTAGATATGTTATTTAAACATGCAAATCTCTTTTTTTTGGCATCGGCTCTCCAAATCTGCAGTCAAATCCTGATGCAATACACAAATATTTCAACTGAAGTTATTTGTTGCCTCTATCTGTAGAGTTGTTTTGAAATCCTATATACATTTACCGGAGATGAAGCCACACTGACTCTTAACCACTTGCTTCTAAGGTGTGCATTACAGGACTGGACTGTTCATAACTCCTCAAAACTTCACGGTAGCATAGAAAGAAAACTCTTCAAGAAAAATTCCACACAAATACCGGCTCGCGAAGTTAAATGATTGCTACAGAGATAGGTGATCCAAACACCCCTAAATATTCAATAGATTGCGACTGCCTGGTGCTTCATTTCCCTTAACGCGCGGACACTTTGGATTTTTCTTTTAAGTGTCAAAGGAAGATTTCCATTACTGGTCTTGACCTTTATGGCTGATCGTTTAACCCTATGGACACACGGGGTCGCTGTTACGGTGCGATCCGTACTTAGCACGGGAAGATAGAGTGGATGATCGGTTTTGGACCGGAAGTGTTGAACCGATTGTCCTTGTAAACGTTTTACATTTAGATATGTTATTTAAACATGCAAATCTCTTTTTTTTGGCATCGGCTCTCCAAATCTGCAGTCAAATCCTGATGCAATACACAAATATTTCAACTGAAGTTATTTGTTGCCTCTATCTGTAGAGTTGTTTTGAAATCCTATATACATTTACCGGAGAGGAAGCCACACTGACTCTTAACACCTTGCTTCTAAGGTGTGCATTACAGGATTGGATTGTTCATAACTCCTCAAAACTTCACCATAGCATAGAAAGAAAACTCTTCAAGAGAAATTCCACACAAATACCGGCTCGCGAAGTTAAATGATTGCTACAGAGATAGGTGATCCAAACACCCCTAAATATTCAATAGACTGCCCGGTGCTTCATTTCCCTTAACGCGCGCACACTTTGGATTTTTCTTTTAAGTGTCGAAGGAAAATTTCCATTACTAGTCTTGACCTCTATGGCTGATCGTTTAACCCTATGGACACACGGGGTCGCTGTTACGGTGCGATCCGTACTTAGCACGGGAAGATAGAGTGGATGATCGGTTTTGGACCGGAAGTGTTGAACCGATTGTCCTAGTCTTAGTGTGTTCTCTCTATGATCTATGCTGGGAACAGCAGCAGGTCTTCCTGTTGATGTTTTCTTGACTTGTATGCCGGCGAAACGCACGTAGCCCGAGACCGGGGCTAGACAGACGGAAGCGCTTCCAGGTAGGAAATCCTCGCTCGGTTTCTTTCTGAGCATCATTTCGGTGTGCCTCCACTTGAGGCTATGCACGATTCCCTAGAAGAAAGCCCCGCAGAACTTACTTCTGAGTAAACATATAGTTAATAGCTGTTTGTGTGACCATCTATCAGTTTTAAAAGCAATTAAAAATCGATGATGCTTCGATTGGTTATAATGAAAATATTGCCCAGTTGTGGGTTTCGGGGGTATTGTTTTGTTTTGTTTTGTTTTTCCTCGTGGAATAGTGTAACGATATTGTTTATGTATTATTTATAACTCATATATACTGCTTAACAAGGTAAAATCTATGTGGTGTACATGGAGGACGCGAATAAAGATCACCGCTAAAATACATGCAGATACTGTGTGAAATAAATATTTAAAATAATGTTTATATGGAGAGAATACCTAGTGTTATGCTCAAGCTGAATCTGTAATCCTTTAGAATCAGTGTAATAAAATAATAATTTTTACTCCCCTCCAAAAAAAATTAAACAGTTAAATAGTGCGGTGTTAGGATCAATTTTTTATAGGATAAGAAAAGCCTATGTAAAATGTGAGTTTCAAAACTCCACATTTCTGCCCACTGAACTTTGTGTGGCAGGATGTTACAGGGGGTGAGTATCACTACTGATAAGGGTCTGTTTTCATGGTGTGACATGTTGACATGCTGTTGGTCAATGATCAATATAAGGGGTCCTCCAAAAATTTCAGCAGGGAAGGACTATTGTTTAGATAACAGCAATATGTCAGCAATAGAGCATTGAAAATGCATTGTTAATTAATAGTTATTTAGATCCTTTAACAAAAATGTAATATCACACACAAAGGCAGCTGCACAAAGAATATGTTACAGTAGCCTAATTCCAAAGTTGATTACTGCCTGACCCATAGTGGCTAGGCTGTTTCTGACCAGAACCAGACATAAATTATTGTACTGAATGAGGTTGACATGAAACATCATCATCATTATCATCATCATCATCATCATTACCTGCTAATGGTAGTACTCTTTATAGAAAACAGTTTATCCACCCTACCAAGCCAACCAGGTTGTTTATTTGATGTATTACCTGCTAATGGTAGTACTCTTTATTTTATTTATTTATTTTATTTATTTGATTTATACCCCGCCCATCTGGCCTAAAAGGCCACTCTATAGAAAACAGTTTATCCACCGTACCAAGCCAACCAGGTTGTTTATTTGATGTATATCCTGCCTTCGCCTCACAAATTGAACTCAAGGCAACTCACTTATGCAGGTGCCTAATACTGTACTGATTGGTCTTCACATTGTGCCAAGAGTCTGTCTGTCCAGTGTTTTGCCTAATACTATGCTGACTGGTCTTCGCATTGTGCCAAGAGTCTGTCTGTCCAGTGTATATAGTTACAGTGATTTTTAAGATAACTAACTGATTAGATTTGGGAAGGAAAGGATTCAATTCAAATTAGAGATTTGTTCCAAAGCTATGTTGGCCATGCTGGCTATGAGATTTGGGCAGTTTTAGTCCAATAAACTTTTCAAAGCTCTGATATATCCACTCTGGGAACCTTGCAACTTGAAAAAATGATTACAGAAAATCAAATTGAAAAGTCTCCAGCATAGTATAGCTATGTCAAAACAAAGCTTTGAAATGGTGGTGGTGGACCAAAGCTTGATTTGAAATGCACCTCCATCCCCTTTTGTTTTATAGATGGTGGGGCAAGGAAAGATTATATTAAGTATAACAATGACCCAAAGCATTTTGCAACTTACAGTAGATGCAAATAGGGTAGTCTGGTATCTAGTAGGGGAGTAAAAATCTGCAGTACTTGTATTAGGACCAGTTGCAATTCTACAATAGCATGGAGTTTTGAATTCTCCAGAACTATTTAAAGTCCAAAAATTTGTGAGGTCTGCATTTGACTTACTCCCTAGAATGGAAGTGTAGGAAGTCACTGGTGCAGGTATCACATGACACCATTGATGGGATGAAGGAAAAACTGTGAGTTCTTCTCTCCAGACATACAAGGCTGGTAGCAGTTTAGACATCTGCTTCTTCCCTTAGGCAAAGCAGATGTCTGATGGGGGCATAAATTAGTTCAAAGGAACAACACAGACCTTTTATAAATACAGCTGGAAATGAAGCTCATTACTTAAAACATCTAGCTAAAATTTTGAATTCCATGCTACCTACTAGCATCTGTTTACCACCTGTCCTAGTGAAACTTTCTGGAGACTCACAAGTTTGCACAAACTGTGCTGATCCTATAAAGTTATTATCTACCAGTGAATTTTGGATTTCATGAAATCATGGGAAATGGGGGAGGTGCCAGAGGATTGGAGGAGGGCCAGTGTTGTCCCTATCTTCAAAAAGGGCAAAAAAGAGGAACCTGGGAACTACAAGCCAGTCAGCCTGACATCAATACCAGGCAAAATCCTGGAACAGATCATAAAGCAGTCATTGTGCAAGCACCTAGAAAACAAGGCAGTAATAACTAGAAGCCAACAAGGATTTGTCAAGAACAAATCCTGCTGTGAAGGAGAAGAGTGCACAAGTGAGCCATCCATAGTGATAGAAGCCATAGAAGGAGGAGAAGAAGAGAAGAACGGGATAGAACAACAGAGTGAGGGGGAGACAATTAAGGAAAAGGCAGGGGAAACAATCAAAGGAAAATGTGGGAAAGACCGAGGTTTGTCTAGCAGAGGAGGAAAAGGGGAGAAAAAAGGCGGAGCAAGAGGTGACAGTTTGGGAGGAAGATATAAATGAGGAAGAGGTGCGCTGGTTCAGTTCAGTTGTGGCAGATTTCGAGAGAAAGAGAGCTGAAACGCGTAGAAAGGAGATCGAGAGGGTAAGAACCCAAGGTCTGATAAGAGACTTCCATAACTTGAAAGTGGGAGGATTGCTGCTGGAGCCCCCACCAGGGGAGTCGAGACCGTCGAGATACATGACCAAAGAATGGACTGTGATAGTAGTGCCACGTGAGCTCAAGTTGCAGAGAGAAGCTGAGATAGCTCACAACCGGTTTTATGACAAGCCTGACGAAAGAGGGTGGATCAGGCACACATGCTGTGGGACGATCTGGGCCCTGCGAAGTACTCTTCCCCTAAAACCGGACTGCAAGGAATGGCGTGGGGGGCATCCCCGCTGAGTCCGTGGGACTATGGCAAGAGTTTCAGTTCAGTTAGTTGTGGCCTGTTGCCAGAGTTAAGAGTTTTTGACCCCATAAGTAATGTGCTGGAGGAGATGAGTGTCAATAAAGAAGAAAGTTTAAAGGTTATTAAAACGTTTCCATTGTTATTTCCCTCCAAAGATGAGGGGTTGCCCAAAGAAATAGAAGAACCTAATCACACTTGCCAAACTAATTCCCTGATAGACAGAAGGAATACTGTAGACATAGCATATCTTGACTTCAGCAAAGCTTGACAAAGTGCCCCATGATATAATGATTAGCAAGCTAACTAGGTGTGGGCTGGATGGATCAAGTGTCAGATAGATACACAATTGGCTACAGAATCGTACTCAGAGAGTGATGATTAATGGGTCCTTCTCTAACTGGGAGGAGGTCACTAGTGAGGTACCCCAAGACTCAGTCCTGAGCCCGGTGCTCTTCAATATTTTCATTAATGACATGGATGAGGGAGTTCAGGGAATGCTTGTCCAATTTGCAGGTGATACCAAAGTGGGTGGAATAGCTAATACCCTAGAAGACAGGAACAAAATGCAAAATGTCCTTGATAAGATGGGACACTGGGCCGAAAGCAACAGAATGAAATTCAACAAGGATGCATGTAAAGTACTGCACCTCGAAAAAAGAAACCAATTGCACAGTTACAAGATGGATGAACACTTGGCCGAAAGCAACAGAATGAAATTCAACAAGGATGCATGTAAAGTACTGCACCTCGAAAAAAGAAACCAATTGCACAGTTACAAGATGGAGGATACCTAGCTCAGCAAAACCACGAGCGAGAAGGATCTTGGAATTGTTGTCGATCACAAGCTAAATATGAGCCAACAGTGTGATGTTGCTACAAAAAAGGCTAATGCTATTTTAGGCTGCATTAATAGAAGTATAGTTTCCAAATCCCGTGAGGTGCTAGTCCCCCTCTATTCAGCACTGGTTAGGCTTCACCTTATTGTGTCCAGCTCTGGACACCACACTTCAAGAACAATGCTAAAAAATTGGAACAAATTCAGAGGAGGGCGACAAGGATGATCAGGGGGCTGGAAACCAAGCCTTATGAGGTAAAGCTGAAAGAATTGGGCATGGTTAGCCTGGAGAAAAGAAGGCTGAGGGGTGATATGATAGCACTTTTCAAATATTTGAAAGGCTGTCATACAGAGGAGGGGCAAGATCTGTTCTCAAGCATCCCAGAGTGCTGGACAACGACAGAGCACAGACAGAGTTCTGACTCTTGTCCTCTGAAGATGCCGGGCACAAAGACTGGCGAAATGTTAAGAAGAAAGACTTTAGGAACACAGCCAAACAGCCCGGAAAACCCACTGCAACCATATAGTGATAAAATTTCAAAGCATTACAATGATAAACAGACATCTAAATAGTACTCAGCAGAGGAATAGAACCTGTTTTGAAGTTAATGTTATGGAAAGCAAATTTAAAAAGTGATGTGAAAAAAAACAACTTTACAGGTAAAGGTAAAGGTAAAGGTTCCCCTTGACAATTTTTGTCCAGTCGTGTTCGACTCTAGGGGGCGGTGCTCATCCCCGTTTCCAAGCCATAGAGCCAGCGTTTTGTCCGAAGACAATCTTCCGTGGTCACATGGCTAGTGCGACTTAGACACGGAACGCCGTTACCTTCCCACCGAGGTGGTCCCTATTAATCTACTAGCATTTGCATGCTTTCGAACCGCTAGGTTGGCGGGACCTGGGACAAGCGACAGGCGCTCACTCCGTCGCGCGGATTCGATCTTACGACTGCTTGGTCTTCTGACCCTGCAGCACAGGCTTCTCCGGTTTAGCCCGCAGCGCCACCACGTCCCTCTACAGGGACGGGTTGCTGAACCTTACAGAATACTGCTTCTAAGTTTTGTTTTATTTTCCTCTTAAATCAGCAAGCTGTATGGAGGGCTACAATAAACCCAAGATTATACAACTTCCATTGGATTCAGTCTGATGTACAGTTAATAATAATCATATGCCATCAAGTATGTTCTGACTTATCAGGACCCTTTTTCAGGGTTTTCTAGGTAGAAAATATCCAGAAGTGATTTTCCATTCCCTTCTTCTGAGGGCACCCTAGGGCTGGGCAGCTTACCCAAGGCCACACAGGCTGGCTATACCCACAGGAGGCCCAGAGGGGATTCGAACTCCCAGTCTCTGGCTCTGCAGCCAGTTAACTAAACCACTGAGTTATCCACCCAGTAATGTATAGTTACCTGAGAGTAAATCCTGTCAAAGTCAGGCATGCATACCTGTTGGGCATACTTGGGGTCTACGTCTGAATAAATGTGTACAAGAGTACATTGGTAATTTTTTTAAAACCTTCAGTAGGCAAGAGAGGCTATTGCTGGAAAGCCATGCTTCAGTGGTTTTAAAGCACTATGGTAACGTCTGCAGCTGAGTCGGCACAAATATTTGCAAAGTTATCTTCTAACTTCCTGTGACTCAGTTTTTCCTACTAACTTGATTAGCTTATTTTTGTGTTTATCTTCTCAGTAAAAGCATGCCGGGCCTTTTCTACAGCGGAATGAGGATTTCTGTTTCAAACCGTCTATGTCTCCTTTAAAACAGGTAATGTCTTATGGTGAGAAATGTTAATTTTACACTCTTGAGGAGCAATGCTAAATTTAACTTGTTTTCCCTCCCCCAGCCTTTAACCATTGTCATTCATTGGTCCTACTTAACATTTTGAGGCAAGCCTTGAGCTTCTGCACCATTAAACTGACCTGGGTCAAAATATGAAGGGATTGTGTAATAAGTACAGGATGAAAATGAAAAACAAACCAGCACTTTTCATAGTTCTTCTTTCATTCAATTTGTTTAAAGTGTTTTTCTGACAATCTGACTATATGGTTCTAGTCACATTGCCTGGGATATTCTGAGAGTTGTAACTTTAAAAGGTAACTTGTCCAAGATCTAATTTTATGTTGTTTTTAGGCCAAAAGGCTTTCAGAGCAGCTCTCATGGAACTAGTACCAACAAGAGAACTACTGTACTTCCTATCAGACTTACTATCAGAGATTTCCCATCTAATGTACATTTCAGTAGTTTTATTTCTACTAAGAAACAGTTGAAAGGGGAACTGGTTTTGAACACCAGCAAACAGAAACAATCATTTGGAAGAAGTCACACTAGTCCTCAACACATGCGAGTTTACTAAGATAGAGACAGAATGGAAGGAACAAGCAAGGAATGTTTTTTGGTTGGCGCTTGGTGGTCTTGGAAGATGACTTGAAGATGATTTGTGGTGGAGTGATTAGAGTGTCAAAGGACTCAGGAGATCTAGGTTAGAATTCTTACTCTGGCCATGAGACTCACTGGATGTCCTTGGTCCAGTCATAACTTTGTCACCCTGACCTACCTCACAGGACTGTTGGGAGGATAAAACTGAGGAGGAGAATCACATTCACCACCTTGAACTCCTTGGAAGAAAGGCAGGATATAAAAGAAAGAAAGAAAGAAAGAAAGAAAGAAAGAAAGAAAGAAAGAAAGAAAGAAAGAAAGAAAGAAAGAAAGAAAGAAAGAAAGCGGCACACATAAGTTTACAAAGCAGTGACCATGTTTGTACTAAACAATAAAACAGGAATCATGGCTTAATAAATCTGCTTCTTTCCTTCCCATTTATACAACTCAGTCAACAAACCAGGAACGGGAGAAACATTGCGTGATACAACAAATTATGATTGTAGTTAAGAGTGCCTGAAGAAGTCAGGATTAAAGTTGCAGGTTTTTGTCTTTGAAAGTCTGGCTTATTAAGATTTATTTAACTATAATCCTTGGTTGGACATTGAATGAAACTCTTCTGTTCCTACTTGTTTTCCCATTGAAGTAAATCTAAAGTGAATAGAATGTGTGTATGTCATAGTTTATTAAGCCAGGAATTACCTGTGGCTACTACCAGACAAATTAATTAATGAGTAAAAATGCCTCACAAACAGGTATGTATGTATCTGTCTCTGTAGACATGTGAAAGTGTTTGTGGGGAAAAATAGCTGATCAGAGGCGTCCTGAAACATGAACATGTTCATAAGTAATGTACATGTGTAGTATGTGCTTTGTTTCAAACACCAATCCTTCCCCATCTCTCCCTAGCAGAAACTTGATGGCATGGTAGTGACAGGAAATGATGTCTCCAGTGGGCTTGGTAGAGGAGGTATGCAATGGATCCACTCTACTCAGCCCATATTTAAAACATTTTAAAAGGTCAGTGTTTAGGACCTAGCCCTTGAGGTTCCCATGGGAAGCCTAATGTATATCCTTATCCCACTTCAAAGCTTGGTTGATGAGAGCATGAGGCAGGGCTTTCTATTAAACAGTACATCAGTTCTACAACTTTTTTCTGAAGAGAAGCAGGTTGGCTCTATTCCTGTTGAAATAGTTTATTAATCAGCTTTTTAGAAATTGTGTTTAATCTGCTGCTAAAGAAAAATCTATTTTATTGTACATTGTTTTGGCAGTCCTGGTGGGCAGAAAAATGCTAAACAAATATTCAGTACTAATACCAATATTAATAAGATAATTCTTTCCTGGTTGGGATTTAGTAATGATTCCTGCACTGATAGCTTTTCACATAGCTTTTTTTTGTTTAACAAATCTGGCCATTTCACATAACAGAACTGGGAGGATACCATTATATTGCCAAAACACCATTTTTCTTTTTCTTAATAAATGTTTCATTTCATAAGAAAAGAAAGGCTTGAAATGTAATTGTGATCACTTAAAATAAAATAATTTATCTGGGGTTTTTTGTTTGTTTGTTTTAAAATTTAATACTCCTTACCACAGCAACTAGAAAGAATTTAAATATGGAGGAAGATACTAGACCTCTTCTGGTTCCTGTGGGAGGTGATGAAAATGACATTGGAATCCTCAACATTCAGTTTAACCCAGAAGACCTGAAGTACAAAAGGTGAGGAGAAATACTTAAGTATGCATTTAGAATCATAAAATAATGGAGTTGAAAGGTCATTGAGTCCAACCCCCTGCTCACTCGATGATTGTGTGGACAGTCTGGTTTTCTTCAAAATTTTTATACTAGTTTCATTTCATATTTATTGTAATCCTATTTGCTTCAGTTGATCCTCCCACTTCACAGGACTTTGCCTACAATTACATTATCTCAAGACTACAGTATCTGCTAGATTCATATAAAAAGCAGAATAATTGAAACAACTGTCTAGGTGCCTTGCCACTGTCCTGTTTATAGGCTAGAATTAGCTGGCAAGAGCTTGAGGAAATTAATTTTGGACTACAGTTCCCAGAATCCTTCACCTAGCTTTGTCAAGCAGTCAGGAATTCTGGGAAATGTAGTCAAAATCCTACCCCCATTCTGGACTTCTAGGTGAAGAGGAATGCTATTCCAAATTTATCTTACAAATAATTGGTTCTATTATTATGCTAGCCTAGTAAAAATATTGGGGTTGTCACAAAGTACAGATATAAGAAAATGAATATTTTGCCCCAAACTCCACAAAGTTATTAAATTTATAGAATCGGTGGTGCTGGTTCCATAGGATCTTTTCAGAGCCAGGATTATCATATAGGTGTTTCCTTCGGAAGATATTGCTAAACCACTTCTGAGTATACCATGGAAACCCTAGAAAGTTAGCATGTATTATTATGATGATGATGATTATGGCCCCTATGTACCGTGTGATGACTTATTGAAGAGAAGGTGAGTAAGACCATTTTTAAGCATTTAAAAATATAGGTTGAAATGTTTAACATGTAACTTGAAGTTTCTAACCATCCATAATACCACAACACATTCATAACATTTTTACTGTATTCATCTCTTAATTAATGATATTCTTATTTAAAGTTTTGCACAAATATACATAAAATTAAGATGAGTGGATATTAAAATAATATTTCAATCTGCAGTCATACAAACATGCATGTAGGCATCCTTCAGTCTCGAGAGATTATGGTAACATGCTCTGAATAGAGAGGTCTTGGAACAGCGTCTAGTGTGACTGAGAAGGCCAATTTGAGAATGACAATCCCTTCCACATTGAAGACAAATACAATCTGTCCCCTGTCCAGCTCCCTGATTTTGCTGGTTTCAGTACTGCCTCTTTGCCTCAGCCTGCTGATCGAATGTCTCTTCAAAATGGGAGAGGCCATGATGCACCGCCTGCCTCCAGGCTGAACACTCAGATGTCTGTTGAGGTCCATTCCTAAGGCCTTCAGATCCCACTTGCAGATATCCTTGTGTCGCAGCTGTGGTCTCCCTCTGGGGCATTTCCCCTGCACTAATTCTCCATACAGGAGATCTTTTGGAATCCAACCGTCAGCCATTCTCATGACATGCCCAAGTCAACGTAGACATCGCTATTCCATGCTAAAGATTCCAGCTTGTTCTAGGAACTTTGTCCTGCCAGGTGATACCAAAAATGCATTGGAGACAACACATATAGAGGTGTTCACCTTCCTCTCCTGCCGTCCACGAAGGGTCCAGCACTCACTGCAGTACAGGAGTGTACTCAGAAAACAGGCTCTATAGACCTGGATCTTGGTATATGCTGTAAGCTTTTTATTAAGGCATACACTCTTTGTGAGTCTAGAGCAGAGGTCATCAATCCCCGATCCGCGGTCTGAGCCAGACCAAACCATGAAAAGGTGTTCACCTTCCTCTCCTGCCATCCACGAAGGGTCCAGCATTCACTGCAGTACAGGAGTGTACTCAGAAAACAGGCTCTATAGACCTGGATCTTGGTATATGCTGTAAGCTTTTTATTAAGGCATACACTCTTTGTGAGTCTAGAGCAGAGGTCATCAATCCCCGATCCGCGGTCTGAGCCAGACCAAACCATGAAAACAGACCTCTCACCCCCTCCACAGACACTCTTCCCCACAGCTGCTTTGTGCATGCATGCCAGGCCTGAGCCAGACCGAGCCGTGAAAACAGACCTCCCACCCCCTCCGCAGGCACTCTCCCCCACAGCTGCTTTGTGCATGCATGCCAGCACCGGCATAAGCACTCCCCCACCCCTTCATGCATGAGCCCGAATGCCCAGGGGAAGGGGGCGAGTGGGCACTCCGGTGCATGCGCAAAGGGGCGGGGAGCACTCCCCATCGCTATGCATGCCGGTGCATGTGCAAAGGGGCGGGGAGCACTCCCCATCGCTTCGTACATGCACCAGAGAGTGCACACACACACGAGAGCAGGGGGATGCCCCGCCTTCCTCAGCCGGTCCACGGTCCCGAAAGGTTGGGGACTGCTGGTCTAGAGAACATGGTAGCTGCTTTGCCAATGCATTTATCCAGCTCGATATCTAGAGTGTCATAGATATTATCTATACTTACTGTGTTTGTTTAACTCTAATTCGTTTTTTTCTATTTGTTCAAAGTGTTCCATTAAATCAGTTATACTAGAAAAGGGAAAGAGCCTGTATATAGGCTGAAACATATCGTGCATTTTATACTGGAATAAAGATAATTGTATTTTCTACATCCTGAGACTACAGTCTTATCTTCCTTTGACCTAATATTTTAATGGATGTACCAGTTCCTTTCGTTATTTATAGAATGGTAGAGACATAGAAAGGGTAGTATCATTGGTTTAGTATACATATTAAATGGCTGACATATATGGGGGCAAATATGTCTCCAGTTTTAAAAAAATTAGATTTGCTAATAGTCAGATCTTATGATTTCTCAATACTTTATTGAAACTTGCTTTGATTTAAGTTACAGAATCAGATCCAGCAGCTCTGCTATTTGATTGGAGTGGTGCAGATACAAAAACCTTCTTATAAAGCACATTTTTATGGGTCACTGCCTTATTTCACCTTTATTATGCAATGGCTGTAGTCTCATTTAAATGTGAAATGCAAACTGGCCCATTGCAAAAGAGGAAAATATTCCTATTTTTTTAAAATAAGGAGTTTTTGTAGTTGCCTCTAGTCTTAGTCTTCTATGATAAGCCTCACCTGCTGGAATCGCTTCCTTTGCCTCTGGTCTCCTTAATTAGATTTGGGGGCAGGGGAGAAGCAAGTCATTCCCTGATGTGGCTCCTGTGCCTTTTATTGTTTATTTAACCAGTGAGAGACCGTCAGATGAAACGTCTGCTTTTCCTGTCACTATAGTACATGCCATGAAAAAATCATCTTAACATCTGCTTCTCGTGGAAGTGCTGTACCCAGAATAAGTAAGGAAAGTCACCTGTAAAAGTAGATGATGATCTGTTTTGTACATACTTGTAACAGCAGATTAAAAGATGCCTGGAATTATCTCTTCTACACAGTGATTCAAGGTGCAAAAATTGTGTTAAACACAATAAATTAAATATTAAAAGAAAAATTAAACAATATATGATTTAAAATAAAATTGAAAGATTAAAATACGGAAACATGGAAAATATTAGTGGGAGTCTTGAATATGTGCAGACTGAATTTGTGTTGTTGTTTTCACTGATTAACTGCTGCCTGCCTTCATGTGTCTGGAATTTTTGGCCTTATCCTGAAGTAGTTGCATGGTTAGACAAAGGACGCAGATAAGGATAGCAGCAACAGTGGCAAGAAGATTTGTTTTGAAATGTTCCTTTTCTTGGATTGTGACTTGGATTCATTAAATTATGTATGTACATGTGTGAATCAGCTCTGAAAAGCAGCAGAATAAAATGGAAGAGGGTGGAGAAATACGAATAATAAAGAGAAATCCTTAACAAGGGGTGTGGCTTTGGAAAACACAAGCCTTTGGAGATCAGTAGAACACCTGAGATCATTTAGAAGATGCCTGCCCTGATGGCCTGAGAGTTGTGCATGCTTCAGGTGACATTTGCAGTTTATTAACAAATATGAAGTCAACAAAGCATGTCTTAAATCCTTGGACTGTCCAGTTAGTGCCATCTTGTTTTGGAAGATCTTCAAGGTAATGTTTCTGGAATTATATTTAAACTATACTGTTTAAAGGCAAACATTGGTCCTCTTATCAGGCCAAAAACAAAAGAAAAAATAAAGACAATAACATTGTGGCAGATTTCATCGACAAATCGGCTTCCTGAGACATTACTCTTCTTTTTTTCTGAAATGTAGGCACCTTAAGGAAGAGATTTATTGATATTTGGTTCACTGAAGAGACAAGTATGCAGCCTGTTGGGAAAAAAGTGGTGGCTGGTTTTAAGAAGTCATTCCATTGTAGGTCATGTTGTTAGTAGCTGACCTGTTGGGGAAAAAAGTGGTGGCTTGTTTCCATTGTAGGTCATGTTGTTAGTAGCTGTGGTGTAATCCTCCTTAAGAAATGACACAAAATTAGTGACCTTTCTAGTTAGTTCACCTAATTTCTAAAGCACATAGGGATACCAAGCCATGGGATGTTGATATATTTCCATGGATCTCTAGGCGGAAAGACAAATTTAAGGTATGTGGGATAGAGTAGTAGAAATTTGGGGTTTTATATGTAAGGTGACTTCATAAGTTAGGCAGTGTATCCACACATTCCCAGGACTCAGCATGAATGTGTTTTGTATGCGTGTGGTAACTGTGCACCAGAAACCAGGAGCAAGGGGAGGGGGTGGAAGGAAGGACAACAGCTGTGTGTGCTTAGACTTACTGTGCTGTTTGGAGCAAGGGAAGGAGGGAATCACTAGCTTGTGTTATTCTTTGTTGTGGAAACCCTGTTAGCATTATCACGACTTATTGTGCTGTTTGGAGCAAGGGAAGGAGTGAATCACTAGCTTGTGTTATTTGTTGTGGAAACCCTGTTAGCATTATCATGGGGCCTGGAACACCTTCTGCAGGCCATTTGTGCTGCAGATATGTCTGTATGGGGTGTGTGGGGCCTGAAACACCTTCTGCAGGTATGTGCTGCAGATATGTCTGTATGGGGTGTGAGACTGGTAGGAGTAACTGCAGCTGCCACAACTGAAGGGCACATTTTGCTGCATGCCAAAAAAATTAATATATAACTTCTTTTTGCTCCTTATCTCATACAATCTGGTTCATAGGGTTTTTACCTAAATCCTGTTTTTTTTATGATAAAAATAAACACCTTCTGCAGGTATGTGCTGCAGATATGTCTGTATGGGGTGTGAGACTGGTAGGAGTAACTGCAGCTGCCACAACTGAAGGGCACATTTTGCTGCATGCCAAAAAAATTAATATATAACTTCTTTTTGCTCCTTATCTCATACAATCTGGTTCATAGGGTTTTTACCTAAATCCTGTTTTTTTTATGATAAAAATGTGCCATGCATTAGTCATAAGGTTGATGAAGAAATACATTAAGTATAGAAGTAGTAGAGAAAATAGTTAAACATTTTCTGCTTCTCATATTGCTGGAATTTGGATCATCCAGTGAAGCTGATCAGTAACAATCACAGGACAGACAAAATCAATCTTCCCTAATGTGGTGCACTTAGGATATGTCAAGTGACAAGTCTCATCCGCTTCAGGCAGCATGTTGGCAGGGGTAGACGGGTGTTGTCACCAGGATATCTGGAGGGGTCGAACCATGGGAAGGACTGGATGACATTAAACACTCCACACAGATCATAGTTAATATATGAAATCAAGTGCCACAAAAATGCCCCAGTGGCTACTGGCTTTAAAATAAGTAAACCATGAGGGTTTGACCATGATACCTAGATGGACTTTCCAGTTTCAGGCACGGTATGGCACTGCTGTTGTTTCCCTGAGACCCTTTTTGCTTTCAGGTCCCACTTGTAACCACACACAAAGATCATACTGTAAACCATGTGCCACTGTGGGAAGAAGAGCACTAGTCTATGTTCAGAAAAAGCATGTCTTTTCACTTGGGGTTTTTGTGGGGGGGGGAGGGGGGAGAATTATATATGTTCCCTGTTATTTAGACCCCAGTTTCTGCACTAAGGTGATTCATCTACCCTGTGATAATAATCCCCAGTTTCTGCACTAGGGTGATTCATCTACCCTGTGATAATAATCATAATCATTTCTGAGTTAGGGCAGCCCTTCTCAGGGTTTTCCAGGTAGAAAATACTCAGAAGTGGTTTACCATTCCCTTCTTGTGGGAGTGCCATGGGACCGTGCAGCTTGCCCGAGGCCAGACGGGCCCGCTCTACTTACAGGAGGCACAGTGGGGAATACAACTCCCAAACTCTGGCTTTTTAGCAAGATACTCAAACCACTGACCTATCCAGCCAGCCCTACATTGTTGTTACTCCCAGAGCTCAGTGTCTTAGCTAATTTTATGAAGCCAAGTCTTGAGCAATAACAATAAGCAGACATGGTTGTTGTGGGGTTTTCGGGCTCTTTGGCAATGTTCTGAAGGTTGTTCTTCCTGACGTTTTGCCAGTCTCTGTGGCTGGCATCTTCAGAGGACTGGAGTAGGAACTCTGTCCATGCTCTGTTGCTGTTTGTTGGATAGTTGAGTATTTAATAGCTGTGGCAACAGCTTTTGTCTCTCCCCCCCCCCAATAGGGTGATCAGCATGTTTTTGTTGTGACAAAGGGGGGGAGAGATTATCTGTCAGTGATTGATGGGTGTCCTTAGCTGGTCTTTGTGCAGTGATCCCTGGCCCCCTGTTTCTTGGAGGAAACAGTTTCCAGTTTCTTGGAGGAAAGGGCAACAGGTTTATTCAGATAAAACAAGTAGGTACTTGGGTGCCCAGCAGGGTGGGGACCCTGAGATCAACAGAATTCAGGTTTTAATACAGTTTTTAAAAAAGAACAAAAATATGCAGCAGTTGATTGATTTCCCATCTCAGCAAAGCAGTTACCCATGCGCAGAGCAGCTTATCTCTAAGGAATGTTGGGTTTTGCTTCTTCCTTAAGGAATGTTGAGTTTTGCTTTTTCTTTACACTGTGATAGATGATATCAACATTTACAAATTGTTTTTTCATCTCTTTCCAAGTTTGAAGAATTTTGCAGACTGCTCAAGGTGTGTTGCTTTGGGAAAGGAAGGGAATCAGTATGTCTGTGACTGAAAACCTTGCTAAGTGAGGACACTGAGAAAGAAAAAGGCCTACGTATCAGCCTTACATAAATATTTTTCCCTCTCTTTCTAGTTTTCCCTCCATTCAAAATAATTAAAAACACGTTTCGGTTTTTGAAAAATATTCAGCTGGGTTGGCCTGACTAGGAATTTATGCCATATTTGACAATTTGAAATGTAAATAGATAAAAATGTATACTTTTCAGAAATAAGTTGCTGTTTATCATGTGACTAGCGTCTGGTTTTGTTAATTCTAATTTAAGTACTCTTGACTTTTTGTTTGTCCTTTAGACCATTCCATGTAGAACCTACAAATATCGTTAGTGTGAATGACGACATGCAGAGAGTTACAGATGAAGCTTCAGCGATGAATAAACGGATTCATTATTATAGTAGGCTCACTTCCCCTTCAGACAGAGCACTGGTAAGAAAAAGTAAATCTACAGCCCTGTTGTCCTTCTTTGGATCATTTGATGTATGGTAGCAATGCTTTATGTGGTCAGCTGTGGAGTGAGGGTTTAATGTTCCTCAATCTATGGACAAGCAAAACTGGAAGGAAAGAAGGTTAGAGGTGACATGAAGTAGATATTTAGACTTGCATTAGGCCATCATTTTTAGTATTAAAAATAAGACATATTTCCTCACAAGACTGCTGACTCCATACAATTATTAAACTAACAGGGACTTTTATTTATTTAATAAGACATCTTTCCTCACAAGACTGCTGACTCCATACAAAAAGGCACATTTAAAATAACATACAGGTATCTAAAGTAATCAGGGGAGGACTTTCTCTCAGTCCCACCATCCCCACAGGTGCATTTGGTTGGGGACATAGCAGAGAACCTTCTCTGTTGCTGCTCCCAGACTCTGGAACTCCCTTCCACTGGAAGCCAGCCTGGCCCCATCTTTGCTGTCATTCCACAAGCAGGCAAAGACCTTTCTCTTCAGGCAGACTTCTTCTTAATGACTGGTGCTCTGAGAGAGGTTTTAAGTGGATTGTTGGGCTCTGATGTTTTAAATGTATTTTAATATTGATTCAGCTCCCTTGGGTCCTTTAATGGAGAAATACAGAATAGAAATATTTCGAGGGAGGGAGGAAGGAAGGAAAGTTCTTAATAAAATAGCAAACCAAGAATACAAACAAGCAGCCAAAATAAAACTAAGAAAGATTCCATATAGCACTAAAGAAATCAATTAGCTGGCTAACATTTGGTAATAATTATCTATGTCAGTCCAAGATAAAGTTCCAAAGTTTCATGGCATATTTGTTGTTCATACCTGATATTGCCTACTCCTGCATCCATTTTTCTCTAACCTGGATGCTTGTACACATACAGTAAATACATTTTAACTTATGATGTGAATGAAATAAGCATGGATCTGTGCTAGAAGGATGTTCCATAGCTATGGTACTATGAAGTTCATGTCAAGAATTAAACTCCTGTGGAACAGTCCCATAGGCAAAGGACTCCACAGTACCACAAGTGGGCATTTCCCTCTTGTAATGTGCTGTCAAGTCAGAACTGACTTATAGCAACCCTAATAGGGTTTTCAGGTCAGTGATGTATTTAAGGAATGGTTCTACCTGTTACACATACCCCTATGATTTTCCATGGCACAGCCAGGAAATTGAACCCAGGCCTCCTGAGTCCTAGTCCATTACTCTACCCACTGCACCACATTGAATACCCTTGGGTCATTCCCTAGACATCCTTAAATCCTCTGTAGATACATACCAGTGAAGACTGTTCTCTAAGCAGCTGAAACAATAGATAATAAGATTGTATGTGATCCAAGACAGTATATGCATTAAAAGACAGGCTATCTGTTTGTTTCCAATGTGTGTTTTATAGCTATATAACTATGACCCCGTAGGTAGGCTTGTGAATGAGTACACTCTTGGAACACTGCAGATTTGCACTATATTTAATGCTTTTTGTTCTCATCTTCAGCCTCCAATATTCCATTTTCAAGTAGGCTATTGCAGTGTGTGATGGCTTCCCACCACCAGGAATTCTTGGATGAAGCAGTTCTCTCTAAATCAGTGGTTCCCAACCTTGAATAACCCGGATGTTCTTCGGCTAGAATTCCCAGAAGCCTTCACCACCAGGTTGTGCCAGCCAATGTTTCTGGGAGTTGCAATCCAGGAACACCTGGGTTACCCAAGGTTAGGAACCCACTGTTCTAGAACCCTTTCAGTCTGGTCTCAGGACTAGTTGTGGGATGAAGATATCCTTGGTTTCCTGGGTGGATGACCTACATAGGGTATTGGACACAGCAGTGTGTCCCTGTCTTTTGGGCCTGGCAATGGCTTTCAGTAGAATCAACTATGATATCCTTTTGGGTTTTTTTTAAAAAGGAAGGCTTTTATTGGGCAGATGAGGACATTATGAAATTCTGTATTTACTGAATTCAGAGATCATGTTTTAAAGTATTTTTAAATGTTGGTTCTGACTGTTTTTTAAAATATTATATTATGTTTTATGTTTAGCGTGTTATTTTAATTGTCTGTGAGCAGCATTGCATCTCCTATGGGGAAAGAGATGGCATATCAATGCAACACATAAAATAAAATAAATCTTTTGACAGGTGGCTCCTGATCATGTACTTCCTGCTCCAGAAGAAATCTATGTGTACAGTCCATTAGGAACTGCTTTCAAAATAGATGGCTGTGCTGATGGTCATGGCAAAAATTCAAGTATAGTAACAATGTAGGTGAAGCACTTTACTTGTATGGTTGATAGGAAGTTAATTGTTTTAGAATTTGTCTGTTGCAAACTCATAGTATAAATTGTAAAAATAAAAAAAGTCTTGTCATACTTTCCCCCCCTCAGATTCATGATCTGGAACACAATGATGGGTACATCTATCTTAAGTATTCCCTGGGGAATAAAACAGGTAGGGTAATTGTGTATATGTATGGGAATATGTACATGATTATAATGAAAAATACTTGCAGGCTGCATCTTGCACTCCAGCAAGGGTGTAATTTGAATTCCTCTGGTTTTTAAACAGGCGGGATTTACCACTGGAATCATTATTCTTCTTTTAATGGGCATTTTGACACTATACTGCTGCTACAGAGTTGTGAAATCAAGGGCAATGATACGTAAGTATGTATTTTGAGACACTGAGTGTCATTCTGTTATAAGAAGCTGTTTTCTTGACTATTTATGCCCTGCAGAAAGGGAAGTTTAGTAGGAGAGCTGGGAAATCCACCTGGAGTGTCTATCTAGCTCTCTCTCCCCAAATGGCCATTAGGCATATACACATATTTTTGTTTGGACTCCAAATAAAATGCTCTGTCTTAAAGAGTATTGCAGGAAATTAAATTGGCTGTGTGTTGTTGCCTAACGTTGATTACACTGCTGCCACCTTCTGGATCCCTCCAAAGTAGAAGGGAATCAATCAGAAGTCACTTGACAGAGCATCTTCACACATGTGAAGCAGGGCCAATTTTATGAAGTTCATGGATCATTAACTTTGTGTAGTATTTCCTCCGTCTAACAGCTCCTTGCTCTGGAAAAAAAAGAATTAAAATTTTGCTGTAAATAGCAGTGAACAAAGTTTAGTGCACATGCCTAAATTGATGGGAGGGGGAAGGAGGGATATCTATATTTAATGTGGAGGTGGGCCATGTGGCCACTTCTAATGAAGGATTTGCCCAAAGCCCTCTGCAGATCAGCGGACTTTACTGTAATATTAAAATTTTTCATTACCCAGCATCACTGAATTTGTGTGACAAACCAATAAATAATAATATTAATTGCATGCCACCAACTTGTTTTTGACTTATGGCAAGCATTTCTGTGATCTAAGTGTAGGGTAACTAAAACGTTGTTTACTATTCCCTTCTTCTGGATGCTTTCTGGGGCTGTCCAGCTTGTCCAAGGCTACCTCTTCTCACAGAATACTCACTGGGGAATTGAACACCCAACCTCTGGCTCAGCCAAACATCTAAGCCCTTTGAAAGCAGCAGGAAGTGCTAATTTTAGAGGCTTTCCATTGCTTGCTATGAAAATACACCAGCAAACTGCGAAAAGTCCTCTATAATCAGCATTTTCTGCTTTTGTCTAGTTTGCCTCCCAGGTTCAGCCATATATTTTTTAAGATGCTGGGAGAAAACATGTCTGAGACGGTGGTGAGGCAGATTCAGCCAAGGAGCTGTGTTGCTGCCCATAACTGATTTAATGGATCTTAGTAGAGTAGGCCCACATTCACTGTACCACTACCCTATTTTTTTACTTTACAATTATAGAATAATAGTTGCTCCCCCATCCTGACCGCCCACATTCACTGCATCGCTACCCTATTTTCTTACTTTACAATTGTAGAATAATAGTTGCTCCCCCATCCTGACCTTTTCAGGCAGCATTTTGTGCTCACTGAGGATGTTGGTGTTCCTTGGAGTGTTCAGAGTTTGGCTTTCTGTTCCATTTATATGTATATGGGTGTTGCTTGGCTCAGAGTCTTTTCTTTTACATTGCCAAGATCATGACATTCTCTCCCCAGAGAAGTATATTTGGCTTTAGAAGGTGAATAAAAATGTTGGGAAGAATCCAGTGCTGTCATTCCAATGACAGAAGTACAAAAGGAGTGCATCTCCAGCCTGCCACACATTCTGAAACCAAGCGTGGTCGAAATGTGGCCTTCTAAATTTTGTTGGACTGCCAGCATTCCCAACCAGTTGTAACTAGTGGTAGAGTACAGTCACCTGCATTCCTTTTGCCCTGTCCTTCTCCAAAATTTCTCCAAAAGTATGAGAAGCCCTCCAGAGCTGGTGATTTATGCTGCTCTTAAAAAACAAAATCAAGGCAGAGCTTGGCCTGCATCTCATTACCATATTTTTCCATCTATAAGACGCTATTTTTTCCTAAAATCATTACCCTAAAGATTGAGGGGCGTATTTTACACAGAAGTAACAAAACGGCACATACCTTGCCTCTGTAACCAGGCTTCCTTCAGCCAGGAGGCTTAGTTTCCTACAGTCAGGAGACTTCGCTTCCTCTAATCATGAGCCTTATGGAACTGATGTCAGCTGATCCTGAACAAACCAATTGGAACACACCTCTTTGGAGGTGGAGCCTGTAGGCTCAAGATTCAACAGAGACAAAATATCCGATGTTCTGAGCTCAGAGGCTGAATCCTCAAAGCTTAGTTTTCGTAATTTTGGGGTTAGAAAATTGGGGGGGGCGTCTTATAAATGGGGGCATGTTATAAACAGAAAACTACTGAACATGTCAGAGAGTGTACTCATTCAACTAAAGGAGACCCATTGAGTCAATGGGATTTGAATAAGCATTTATCACTATTCAGCAGTTTATTAATTGGTACTCTAGATTGGACAAGTAATTGAATTAATGCCCTTATCTTAATTGCTGATGGTTGCTATTGCATTCTATATGTTTCCATGAGAACGCTAATCCACCTTTAATATTTAAGTGAAAATACAGGAGTATCAGTTCTTTTATTTAAAAAAGTTCAGCTGTTAAGAAACTTCAGCTGTACGATTGCTCAGTGGTTTATGTAGGTCTCTGGGTGCAGAGCTGGTGGGGAATTCAGTTCTCCACTGTGCCTCCTTCAAGTAGAGCCTGCCTGTGTGGCCTTGGGCAAGGTGACAGGGTGCCCTCTAGAAGAAGCAAATGGTTAACCACTTCTGAGTAATCTCTACCTAGAAAAGTCCAGGAAGAGTCTACATAAGCCAGAATTGATTTGATGGCACACAAATGACACTGAGACTGTCATATATTGGGCAGATCATGAGATAATAATGTTAGGAAAAGTTGAAAGCAGCAGGAAAAGAGGAAGCACAAATATAGGGTGGATTGACTACGTAAACGACCCCACAAACTTTAATTTGCAAGAGCTCATGTAATCCCTATGAAATATTGGTTCAGCCCAAAGGGGTAGGTCTAAGAAAGAGTTGGACTGTAAATAAGGGAGAGGAATCAGAAAGAGCAGGAGAACTGAAGAAGCCAGAGCTGCCACTTAAGATTGTTTAGATTGCCAACATGGTCTAGGTATAATTCCTAAATGTTTGTGTTGGAGGGGTGAATCCACATAGTGAGTTTATGTATATGCAATTGAATTGACATTTTATTGTAGAGTCCTGAAAACTCTGCATGTGAAGCTGATTCTTCTATGTTATAGATACCCAACTCAGTTGAGGAAGATATCTTGGATTCCCACCCCACCCCCCGAATTTGAAATTTGAAAGGATACTTGATCTTTGCAGTTCTACAAGCAATTTCTGTGTTGGTGCTGTTGCCAAGATCTTGGATGTACAAATTGTAGCATTTTGTTGTTGTTATAATTGCACGTGTTGTCTGTTATTGGAATGTGAATAAGAAGATACACTGTGAAATTATATTTACAAGGTTACAATTATATTTACAATTATATTTACAATAAATATTAGAAATGGGCACAAATCAGAAAAATTGTGATTAGTTTTGATTTGTGATTCATCAAGGTTGATGAACCACAAGTTACAAATTTATGATTTTTTCTGACGAATCGATGAACTGATTTGTCAATTCATTTTTTTTACTTTAAAACCCTATAAAATGCTCCCACAACCACCTATAGACACCAAGTTAACAAGGAAAGCCCCCCCCCCCCCCTCCTCAAAATACCGAAATTTCTGTGGACTCGGCTGTT